AATTTGATTAAAGGTATTTTCAACCATGCAATATGCTTCATGCTTCACCCTATTAAACACCACCATGATGCATCCCCAGAAAAAAACCCTTATGAATGCTTGCATTTGAGAACTGCTTCCTTTTCATCTTTTATATTCTTTCTTGTTTTGTATGTGAGAAAACCCTGCTCAGAAAGCCTGAAACCAACCATTGTGCAGTGGCACTCTTCCATGTAAGAAAGAATTGGCCAGGTTATAACCACACTTTCTTTTTCATAACATTAATCTTTAATGCTTTAGAAAATAACAAATTGAAAAGGTTTGGTGGTATGCAGAATTATTTTTTCATGGCAGCAAGCCAAATTCTGATTTTATTTATTCGTATGCCCCCCTTACATCTACTTATTCTTGATTACTGGTGGTATATACCTGAGCCTGGAAACTAGCCCAGTATTTAGAAAAGACCAGACAATGTTTCCAAGAATGAAACAGTAATAGAAACTGACAAATATTAAAGTTTCAATAGTTTTAAGCTGCAAGTATAAAGGAGCATATGTATATAGCTATATCTATATCATCTATATCAATAAATCTGCAGTTCCCCAGACAGAGTTGGAGAGTCTGGAATGGCAAATGTAACAAAACACAAGTAAAGGAGTAGAGGATCTTCAGTTAGACAGATGACATGACCTATGACCCTAAAGACTACAAAATGTAAAGAATATAAGATGCCTGTACTGCAAGGAAGATGGTAAAATTGCTTCAGCAGTCTAGGTAGTGTAAAGTATTTACCCTTATGCATTTTTTGCATACTTTTTTGTACCCCTAGAGTTCCTTAAGCTAGACATTGTTGTGAAGATAGTGAATTAAGGGGTGGACTAAGAACTCTGGTTTTAAGTGACCCTTTGGTTACTGAATTTTGAATAGTACTGGTTGCATACAGGGGATAGATTTGAATATAAACACAGAAGAGAATTTCTGAAATCACCTTGAAAACTACTGCTATAAATGAACCACTTGGGGTGAATTTTCTTTATACTCAGTGAACGACATGAATTTCCTGTCCAAAATCCACCAAAACATGGAAATAAAAACATAAAACACTACAGCAAGTATAAAATACAAAAATTCTTGTATGAGGAAGATATAAAGCAATCATATTGGGACTTAAGTACAGTAATGATGCACATTCCCAGTTCCATTACAAAGTACAGTCTCTCCAGTAAGGACGTTTCCTCTGCAAATGCAGTGAAGTCTTAGTATTTGTAATTGAAAAAGTCAAGTAATTTCTCATAGTAGGGGCTGCAGTATTAACAGCGTTGCACTATATGACTCCAGAAGCAGTATAACAAGGGTTATAAGCAGAAATATGTTGGATCTTGTGTGTAGGGTGCAGGATGCTGCTTCTATGCCTTTGGGACATCTTTGAAGCAGATATCCAACAGCTGCTTTTCATTTCCTTCAGTAATGAAAGAAGGTAGTCAGTTGTAGTGGGTACTTTGCACCTCATCCTGCTCACACTGACTGACTGGCTCTGTCGTGTGACTGTGCCCAAAGGCGCTGACAGAAACCTTCCTGTGAACACACCCGAGTACAGTCACCTAGTAAACCATATGAGAGAGACTAAATTCTGTGCCATTCCTGGACTGCTATTTATAATGCAGTTCATCTGTAGTTCCTGTGCATGTAATTTATAATGTAGTTTATCTGCATGTAAGTTGTGTTATGTGCCTTCATATAGATTAATTAAATTAGCCAGGTTATTAGTTTGCTGAAATAATCTAAATACTTTTAAAGGTCCTGTAAACCACACAAGTAGATCTACAGTATTTACAGTTCTGTAATCAGTAATTATAGTCATACCTACACTATAGCAACTAACATATTGAGAGCTACTAAGCAACCTCTACAGTCTGGATTTCAGGAGTAAAGGCTCCTCTAATGACTTAATAAAGCATCAAGAAAATAAGGTTTCCTATTCACTGAATGACAACTCCAGTTCTTCCAATAAAATGGAAGTTGGTTCCCATAAGATCCTGGCAAGTGATGAAGACAACAAGTATAAATCATCTAATAAAGGCCAAAAAAGAGGACCTTGGGAGCTACTGACTTGTCAGCATCATCTCTGTGACTGGGAAGATCATGGGGGAGAGGAGGTGATTTGAGACACCCAGCAGGACCTCACCAAGGGCAAGTCCTGCCTGACCAACTCAGTAGCCTTTTCTGGCTCCACCAGTGGACAAGGGAAGGGCTAAGGATGTCATTTATCTGGACTTCTGTAAAGCCTTTAACACAATATGCTTCTGTCTAAATTGGAGAGGGGGCAAATCAATGGATGGACTATTAGATGGATCAGAAAGTGATTGACCAGTTGTATCCAGAGTGTAGTAGTCAACAGCTCAGAGTCTGAATGGACATCAGTGACAAGTGGGGTCCCTCAGGGGTCAGTATGCAGACCTGTGTTATTTAATATCTTCATTAATGATGTAGACATAAGAATCAAGTGCACATCACAAATTTGTGGATGATACCAAGCTCAGTGGTACTGTTGACACACCTGAAGGACAGGATGTCATCCAGAGGGACCTGGACAAGCTCAAGAATTAGGCCCATGTCAATCTCCTGAGGTTTAACAAGACCAAGTACAAAGTGCTGCTGGGTCGGGGCAACCCCCAGTACCAACACCGTCTGGGGGATGAACAGATGGAGAGCAGTCCTGAGGAGAAAGTCTTGTTGGCTGAGAGGCTGGACATGACCAAGCCATGGGCACTCCCAGCCCAGAAAGCCAAACGTGTCCTGGGCTGCATCCAAAGCAGGGTGGGCAGCAGGGGAGGGAGGGGTTTTGCCCCTCTGCTCTGCTCTGCTGAGAGCCCACCTGGAACCCTGCACCCAGCTCTGGGGTCTCAGCACAGGGAGGACATGGAACTGTGGGAGTGAGTCCAGAGGAAGATCATCAAGACGATCAGAGCACCTCTCCTGTGAAGAAGGCTGAGAGAATTGGGTTTGTTCAGCCTGGAAAAGAGAAAGGGATGACCTAATTACAGCTTTCCAGTACCTGAAGGGAGCCTACAAGAAAAATGGAAAAGTACATTTTACAGAGTACGTAGTGAGAGGATGAGGGGGAATGGATTCAAACTGAGACAGTAGTTTTATATCAGATATGAAGAGGAAGTTCTTTACTATAACAGTGGTGAGGCACTGGAACAGATTTCCCAGAAAAGCTGTCTGTGTATGCTCCATCCCTGGAATGTTCAAGGCCAGTTTGAAAGGGACTCTGAGCAACCTGGTCTAGAATACAAAATTGGCGATATTTGTGTTGACATTTTTTCTACAGAACAGCTAAATTACCAGGGATATCTCTGTAGTCATTAAAGAAAATTTAAACAATTTACAATCCTGCTGGGTGTGGAAATATTTTTGATACATGTTTGTTTATGCAAGCAAGATATACTTGCAGGGTATAATGAAACTACCCACTACTCATTCTGAGCAACTTGTAGTACTCAGGAAAACAGTTTAGTTTGCACATTAGTCAAAACCATTTCCAGTTCTTTAATCTGCTCCTGTCTTTCTAATTTGTGATTTTAAGTTGATTGTCAGACATTAATAAAGCACATCCTCAAAATTATATGTGTAGACAAAATGCAAGAAAACTCTTAAATTTCAGGAGTCCAGTTCAGCCCCTTTTCAGCTACAGCTATGCAACATCTATCTCCTCCATATACTTGAATCAGCCGTTTGACAATGCCTGCCATTTTTTTTACCAAAAGTAAAAGCTTGCTTGAACATAGAATTAAAATCAAGGTCCTCTTCTAGGAAATGACCGAGCATCAGGATGCATGATGATACTACCCCTTCCTTTTCTCCCGTCTAATTAATTTTATTTTCAATAACTTCAGAACAAAAACCAAACTCTGCCTTGATTTTACAGCATATTCAGATAGTCTCAGAGCATTTTTACCTCAGGGTCATACAGGGATCAGTGGACACACACATCTCTCAAGCTGTCAAGGGAAGAGCTCAACCACAGTGTCTGGGTACAGCTCAGAATCTCTGAGCACTGTCAGAGCTCTCCAGTTTTGTCCACTCTACCTGCAAACATGCTCACTCAGTCGTGCTGCCTAAGCATCTGTACTTTTGCACATGGAAACCAGAACTTAACACTCTGACTTTTAAAAGTTGGTGGGTTTTTGTTTGTTTGTTGTTTTTTTTTAATACTAATGCAAGTGGAAACAAATTCAAGCACTAGGCAGGATAAATCACAAGCATCCTAGGGGATGCCTGCTTAGGGGAAATCAGTTAGAAACTGAGTCCTGAGCGTATGCTAAAAAATTAATTTGTATAAAATTGGGTTTTACAAAGATTAATGTACATCTCATCCCAGTTTTGGTCCCAAATGAGTAATCAGAGACTTCACATATTTGTTATCTCATCCCAGTTTTGGTCCAAAATGAGTAATCAGAGACTTCACATAGTATGGACACAACTAAGCATTTTCACTTCACCGAATTTAAAATATTAAAAAACTTTTAGCATTAAAAGCAGAAAACAAAGCTCAGTCTTAATGCTGGAACACTAATCATAGATGTTATCTATGCAGCAGATTTATAAGCAAGCCACAAAATTCACAAATTATCAAAGTACAAATAATTTAACATTTAATTACTGCTGTCAGTAATGCTTTCAAGTAATTCATATTCCAACAACTGTGAACAATGCTCCTTACATTTAGTAGATTCTATGATTATACTGTAAAGTATACTTTCATATGACTGCAATATTAATTTACAGGATAAATGTTGTAAGATTTGCCCTTTGGCAGGGTTGTTGAGGCCATTATAGAAGAAAAAATCTGCAACTAGTAAAAGCTAAAGCTATATAAATATGTGGAAAGCAGTCATCATCAAAACTGCTTATTTAATATCATACCTATTATAAGATCAGGTAGTGATTAAAAATAAATAATGTAATGAGAAAATCAAGACTCTAGAAAGAACTGTGACCTGGTATTTTATATTTACCTTTGGTATTCCAGAAGTATCCAGCCAGTTCTGGAAGATACTTTCTACAGTTAACCCAGACCTAAAAAAAAAATAAAATTAGAAGATATGCAAAGAAATACCAATCTTTTTCAAGTGAAAAACAACCCTTTAGAAGTTAGGCAAAGCTTCTAAATTCAAGAATTGGTTGTACTGCAGTGGTACAATATTCTTCGGTGGCTTTTTTTAATGAATAAAAGCATCAAGGTCCTATGAGCAAATTAAAAGTATATCAGATTTTGTGTACTTAAAAGTCAAATAATAAATTTAGTGCTGATAAGGATTGACAGAGAAAGTGTTATGCGGTAAACTATATCTATGAAACATGTAAAGTATGAAGGGGTGCTCTACTTCTTGTTACATGGATAAGCTTTGGGGTTTTAAAAAGCACTGATAGACATTAATTATCAAAGTTACTAAATGTCTAATATACTTGAGTTTAGTCCTTTCTGCACTCTCTTTATATCCTGATTCACAGTGAAGTCACAGAATAGTCTGGAGCTTTATTTCCCTACAAAAGGAAACAGTTTGTCATTATGAAGCTGCATCAGACTGAAATAACCACACACATAAGTATTTGTAAATTCAGAAACTATATTTGCACTTTTACTTTTGTAGGGACCTATTGCAGTATTTACTTCAACTCTGGTGGAAGACTTCCTAACTTCCAGGGAAGCCAAATAAAAATAAATAAAATAAAAATATTTTTTTTTAAAAATTTCACACATGCAAGTAGTGAAAAAAGGAAGTTGAGTAAGCCCTCAATGAATACAAATATTCTGAGAATCAGAACATATGTGTATGGTCCTATGTATGGTAATGCCTTGGCAAGATTAATTCTAAGTCTTGCAGTTACTTTCACATATGTAATGTAGACTCAACCAACAAAGCATTAATGGAACGAACAGTTATTTCCAAGCTCTGAATCAGGAAGGCAAACAACCCAATAAACAATTTTAACTGATCAGATGATTTAAATAATGAGCAGTCAAGAAGGAGCATTTCTACATAGCCAAGATTCTGAATTTTCAGAAAAACACCACTGTGTGCATTAGATCATTATGTAAATCAATTTTCTGCAGAAAACTGAACATACATGTGATGCTTGTGTAGTGTATTAAAACAAAAGACTAAACATTTAGACTTGTTCCTTGTTATTTGTGCAAACTTACTAAACTTAGAATATTTGACTGCTAATCCCTCAGACTATAATTATCTTCAGTTTACAACTGTGCTCTAAAAAGTGGTGTCTAGTCTTAAGTCAGGTTAGCTGAGTCTCTTGATTGGGAACAGTGATAAAGAGAAATATTTCTAGTCAGCCAATTTACTTCCCCAGAAGAAGATGGTCTTGATTTCTTATTTCTGTCTGGTTACTAAAAAGGGTGCATACAGAACTAGCTTAAAACTGGATACCAAAATGTTACATAAGCAAAGGTAGATCACTTGGACTATACCATTTATTCAGTCTCAAGAAGCGTAAGCATTTGGTCTCAAGAAGCAGGATAATTTGTGTTATTTGTTGTTGTATGAATTAAACCCAATACAGCTTAGTGTTCTAATGCTGAAGCAGAGCTAGAAGCTGGGAAAAATTCCCTTAGTCGCACATTTAATTTGTCTTACCAAGGCATAAGGAACACAGCTTCACCATGCCAGCTAATCCCTTTTTCCCCTATCCCCAGAAACTAAACCTATAGTGTGAGAAAAAAACCTCTGCAAAATAACCTATGTTATATCTGCTATGCAGAGCTGTTTAATATACCCTCTATTTAATTCCAAAAACTGACTTTGAAATGAGCTTGTAACACTCAGGGGAATCACACTGTTCTAACACAACATAATCCAGGCATAAACTATTAGAAGGTTTCTCAGTCTCTTCTAAAACTTTGTAATTTTTCTCAAGAGCAAAACCAGTAACACTGCTTTTTCTCTGCCTGCAGCACCCAAAGTTTCAGAAAAACACCTGTCATATGACAATATGCAATCTTTGTTTGTAGTTGCACACAAGTACTTTTTATAATGCCAAATTAGAATATTCTTGTGGGCACCTATCTAAAAAGCAATTTGTTTAAGAGGCATTCACTATTTTAAAAAAATACAATAGTAATGAGCAGACTTGCAAAGATCTACTCTGAACCTCTTAACTGTCAGTGCCGAAGAACTATGAAGATGTTGGAAATGCTTCTGCTAAATTGTTTGACTTAGAAATAACCCCCCAAAAATTATCACAAACAGATTACCATCTCAAAACAAGTGTCCTAGAGAAAGAACAGAGAGCCTGATGTTTGTGGAGGCTGCAGTTCAGTAAGGGCATTTACCACCTGCTTATGTTGCAGTTAAGCATCTGTAAGGACTTAAATCTGGTGGTCGTGTGAATTCCTGAATGGTCTTCTGGTTAAGGTACTGAACAGTGGGATCTGTGTTGAGTTAACTAGCGCTAACTCTTACAAGACCAAGTTTCTTCAATTGATGTGCACTACAGTTCCCTACTGTAAAATGAGAATGTGGTTATATCATTATCTCATCCCTTGTTTATTTCTTTAGATGATAGGCCCAATCAGCCTAGGAATGATTTCCTAACATCACACACACAGTTCAGATTCAACATTTTAAAACAAAGTCCGTAAAATACTAACATTAATAGTAATTTGAAAATTGGCGTTGTAAAAGATGGCTGTACATAAAGTTTTCACTATATAAGACTCTAAGGTACTCTACAAATTTTAACATAAACCCACTTAATGGCTAAATCAAGGAGAAAAAACATCAAAGTGTGCAATTGTTTAAGTAAAGGAAGGTTGAAAAGTCTGCCATATTCAACTGAAAATATGTAAACAAGTGTATCTGCTTCATCATACATTTATACATGTCAATAATTTTCAAAGTAAGCTATTCCAGCTAATTATGGAGGCATAATTAGAGCAAATCAAAACACAATGATTGAGGATTCTGTCAACTAGACATACCTTCCTAAAGATAAATTTTCTTTAGGTTTTATCCAGCATATATATTTTGGCTCATTAAAAAAAAATAAATTGAGGAATCAAAACCACTGGGAATAATTTTATATGATCATTTGCTTTAGTAGTTAGGTGCCTACCAGCTGTTTTGTCTCACTCAAAATCACCACATTCACAACAATGTGCATGTGAATCAAAGAAAGCAAATGTGAAAGAAAGAGATACACCTATATAGCTGAGTAACTTGAAATTACAGCATTATTTTAGTACTTAATTGACTTTTTGTGAAGACATGCAAGCAATGTGGTTAGGGAACCTGGGTTATTAACAGTACAAACAGCACAGCTATAACACAAGCCTTCCTTTGCCTATCATGTATTACTAAAACCATAGCTTATTAGTAGATTTGCTTACTTTATTTAATGAAATTAAATTAAACAAAACAGCAGAAAACCCCCATGAGCAGAACCAACCTGCTCAAAAATATTTTGCAGTCATAAAGTAGCTGCACAAGAAGCAACCCTGATTTATCTAAGACTGGTGAAACTCTCTGTTACAAGGATAAACACTGATTCTTTGCACAGCTCACATGTTGGGCAGATGTGGAAAGGATCATCTTGCAGCAAAGACTATGGGTGCAAGCCTTGGGGAGAATAGAGCCACTGGAGTTTTATCAAATCTAGTGCATTCTGATATACAGAAACATAAGAGGGAGTTTCTTGGTGTTTCATTTGTTTGGTTTGGTTTGTTTCAATGTAGTGAACTTTCAAATTAGATGAGTAAATAAAATGCCTTGGTGGCATTAAAAAAAAAGTAAATAAAACTTCTCGGTGGGATGTACTGTAGATTTTCCACAGAAAGGCAGGGATAATGTGAGACTTTAGCCAGTGCAAGCAGTATTTTAAAAGGTTTTGTAAACACAGAAGGATAATGATCAATATTTGCTTGTCGTTCTTTCCATTAGTCCTTCACTCAGAAAAATAATCAGTCTTAAAGGCAAATTAAGAAATTATAAAGGATTGGAAGGTACTGCTCAGCTTATCTGATGTCAGTATTCAGCTGCAGTCCAGAAACAGAAGGATCCTGCATCGCAGCATGGATTCCTGCAGCTAACATGCCATTATAATTGAGTCAGAGCAGGAAGTGAAATAGCCCTATAAAGTAGGCATAGAACTGTCCTCCTCCAAGTACAGAAGGCAGCAAAAATCAATAAAAAGTTACATCTGTATCTTGGAGCTATTCATCACTGGGAATGTAGTAAAAAAAAAAAAAAATCTCCTTTGAATAAAAATTGAAGGAATTAAGTACTTGGAGGTGAGAATCTTTTAGATCCAGTCTCTGTTTCCAATAGTAGAAAGCTAAAGTTACACTACTACAGAGTAAAATAACTACAGAAAATTTCCACACTGTTTCATGATAGTTTTCTCCCAGTGTTCATCCTGTTCTCATTACAAAAGCCTCCCATAAGCCACGTTCTACATAGTTTGCCCCCATTGCCACAGCGGAGGGCAAGATTTGGTTGGATTACCTACTACAAATGTCTCTTTACTTACTTTTCTTTTTCTTTTTTATTATTAAGATAAGCCTCCGACTCAAACTACAGTGTATTAGAGTGCTTAATATTTGTCAAGTCTGAAGTATGTAGTTTAAACAGTTTAAATTTTACTTGGTAGAACTGCACAAGTCTGAGAGGTTTTATTTATACTACACAGTATTTTTGCTCTAATATTGAAATGCACTTCATTCCTACATCAAACTTTGTGCAAAAAACCACTCATCAGCAGGTGATCTCTGAAAATACTTGATTTTTATCTTTCCTCCATTTTCTTTTACTTCAGGTGAGTATTTCTGTACTAGGCACAGATTGTATTCAAGAATGAAAAAAACATCCTCCCAGTAGATAAGAAATAAAGGCCTTCTATATATCAAGATTCCTTGTATTGCTGCTGATATCTGCCAAGTAATTTTGGACACAGTCTCATTGAAAGTTTAAATATGTTTTTAGGCAGAAAAATGGATGCTTATGCAACAATATTTTGCACTGGGTTTAGAGTTCAGAGAAACACAAGCAAAAAAATAAAAGGAAGGAAAACAGAGGGTTTTTTTAACATGCCAATGTATAATCATAGCATTAAAAAAATCACTTTCACATCTATTCCATATAATATATCTCATTATATTTGGGCTAGAAACTATATTGAATCATATATAGAGAACATTATCTACTACATCACTGGAGAATATAAAAGCACCCAAACAAAACCTAAACTTGAGATGCCACAAAACATATTTTCTCAATGGTTACTAGCTTGTCTGTTCCTTGACCATCAGGAACAGAAGTGTTTCACTAAGAAACTCAATACATTTGACCTCTATGAATATAATATTTTTTTTTTTACTCCAAAGCACTCACACAGAGTTATGAACACTTTTGCAATCCTGGCCTTCAACACAATTCCTGGCCTTTTCAAGTGAATATTTTTAAAAACTGTAACATGTAAAGCTACTCTACAAAAGACTCTTTATTTGTAGCACAGTCTGGAATAGCACAGAACCCAAAATATAAGTCTCAAAGTGCTGCTAAAGACTATCATCTTAAACAGTCAGCCACACATAGGAGTATTTTGAAGCACGTCAGGCAATTAACACTCAATTTACTTTCATGTTTTCCATCTTTCCCCACACAGCACAATATATGACTGAGAGGGGATGGTACCAGACTAGGTGAAAAAATCCATCTTCTCTGGTATCCCAGATTCACAGCAAAGTTCTGTCATCCTTGCTGTAGGGCACCATGTGCCAAAAGCAGCTGGCAGGAGAATCACAGGTTAGTTCAAGCAGGCAGCTATGCCTGGCACTTCAGATTGCATAATGAACACACAACATCACATCTGACCTGATATGCAAGTTAAAGGCACTCTTTGGGGAGACCATGGTATAGGATAACCACAAGTCTCATAGTTTTTTGTATATATGTAATGGAAATCTTCAGGCTAGCACTATTTCTGGCTAGCATATATTAAAATCTTATTTCTACATATTTCTTTGGCTTTTCTAGCCCAGTTCTTACTTACTGTTTTTGTTTAGGAATGTCTTCCAACAGCATGCTAAGAAAATCCTGGAAAATGAACAGAGGAGCACAGTCAGTATGTTTATGATGCCATAACCCTGTGTCTTCATTGCCAGTGAGAGATTAAAGACTACAGATAACAGAATGATAAGAAAAAGTTTATATATCCACTACGGTGATATAATGACAACATAATTTATATTGTTATTTATATATTATATTGTCAGTTTTCCAACCTATTCAAGCAATGAGTGTCAACAGTGAAAGAAAATGGGCTTGAAAAGCCTGCTGACTATTACTATTTTAACACAATCCCATGTTCCTACTTTTTTAGAAACATACAAACTATATTTAAAACTGTTAAAGGCTGAAGATTTACATACAAAAGTTAAGAAAATTAAGGGTGTTTACACTCTCTTCCCTGTGCTTATGTTATCACATTGTCATTCATTACATAACTACATAAAGCTTTTTCTTCCTTAGTGCACATGTCTGATTAGACTACACGTACTCCTCATTCCATGACAAAATTTGCAATACTGCTGATCACCATATTACCTAAGGAGTAAATTCTTCAAATAAAAGGTAGCTAGAATTTCTTTCATGGTTTTACAAAGATGATGAAATGCCAGCGGAAGAGCATTACTATCATACTCACTCATACCATTATAAGCCCTCTTAAGAAAGTTATACCTGACATCACTAAAAGGTTCTCTGGCACCCTATGTTCTATATAGCCTGATCTTAATGACAATCACTCTGACAGAATACACTCATTTGAACAATCATATAATAATTGGATTTATTAATATGAAGCTGTTTCATAAAATCGATGCATCTGCTTTATTAAGACTAATCTTTGTGGAGACAAGTTTCATAGGATAATAACGTTCCTGACTTCAGTACAAAGTACAGGCTGACTGTACTGTGCAACAATTGCAAATTGTTCCTCTCTAAGGTCTTGAATAATGTTTCCTAAAAGGCAGAAATCTTTTATTTGTGGCCCATGCCATAACAGTCAACAAAAGATACTGTTTCTCTGTCTGAGTAGGGCATTGTTAGGGAATCAAAGTAAGATTGATTGCAAATTGAAACTAGTGGTAACATAGTTAAGCCTTCCTTCTTTAGATTATAAGCGAGACTCAGGTTGCATTGCAGTGGCTGCAAAATTGGCTTATAACAAAAAGTAAATTACATAGTGCTGGGCTCAGTGTTGCTGTGGCAAGAACGCCATCATTAACTGTGACAGGAGTAATTTTGTCCCAGTGTATTGCAGACATGATGATGATGATGTGTGAAATCCCTTTATTTCATAAAACTACTTGTAGTTTTGCTGTAGGTAAACATTATTCTGTATATAAACAGAATTACTGTCTCCTTCCACTTGTGGAAGTTTTGCTGGAGATACACAGTAAGCTTACATGCAAATAAAGGATATGGTATAAGAAAGATCACAGTTAGAGTTATTTCACAAGTATGTGAATAGTAAATCTGAAGTGGTTATCCTTCACTATTTGCACTGTGTATACATTAATGCAGCTAGATTTCCTGGTTAGATTCCATCAACTTTCCATAATCAATCACACAGTGGATGATTTTATAATCTGTGTACTATACTATGAAATTAAGCATCTCCTTTGTTTTCCAAACATCAAAAAAAAAGGCACTGTCATTCTACACGCCTTAAAATTAGGATTAAGCTATCATATCTTATTTTAACTGCTTGTATTTCAATGCTCCAAAACAGAGTAGGAAAGCAAATTACCACTTACCTCATATTAGCATGTCTTTTAACATTTGCCTATTATCAAGTCTGCATGACACATCTCATTATCTGTCTGACTTTTCAGCTGTTTATAATTTTGTCATTTTAACCATCTGGAGTGAAATTTTACTCTCAGGATACTTTTTCTTCCTCCACAGACGAAATAGTTCAGAAGTGTCCAGGTGAAAAGTCAGAGGATAATGTGGGAGTTTTTAAGATTTGATGCCACTTCTTTAAGATGCTTTAGTAATTTTACACTTAGCAGCAAAGACTTGTGGATGACTATGGTAATCATAACTAAATTCTGGATCAGACCATAAAGCAAATTATAGTTTGGGTTTTTTTTGTTATTGTTGCATGTAATTAATGAAGATATAAAGAATATATGAGTTAGAAACTACATGCTACCACAGTACTGCAATATTAACAAACTGATTAAATAATATCACTTTCTTATGTATTCCTGTTGTTCTTACCTGGCTAGAGACCCCAGGGCTAGAAAATAACTTTTCTCTATATAAAAAAACTGTTATTCTGCAGTTTGTGGAATGCTATCGACATTTGGCCAAGCTGAAAAAAAACGTTTTAAAAATGAATTCAACACATCTGCTAGCCCCTCATAATTAAATTTCCTGGTGACTCTCATCCATTTTCACCACAGTCCTGACTGATGCCAATAACTTTAATCACAGCTTTAACACTGGGCTTTTGCTGGACAGATCAAATGTGGATACAGGGTGTGAATTTGACATCAAGGAGAAATTTTCTTTGCTCTGTTAATGGATGTAATGTGTCTGAGTAAAAAGAAAGAAAAGCCAGGACCCAAAACCAAAGAAGTAGGTTGAAAGAAGTAACTGGAAATGAAGGCTACTTAAAGCATTAACTAGATATATGTGGTGTTAGAAGACCTTTTATTTAATACCAAAATATGTTTTATTACTACTCCAAATTTTGTCTTGAGCAATGGCCAGCAAGTTTCTACCCTTGAACTGTTGTGGAGCATCAGGCAAGTACCTCTCCCTGATTACAAATATTGATATCAGAAAAAGAACACTCAATATTAAAAGACAAATTATGTCTTCATATTAAATCCTCAAATCCAAACATTTCAAGCACTCTACAACCAACAGATACTTTTGTTTAAATTCTCTGACTGGAATATAATGGGGTGGATTAAAACAGTGGAAATGTCATGACTGAAAGCGATAGGTCCAAATGGACATTCACTTGGCAACAAATAAACTTTGACTACACTTGCATCCAGTTTATTGAAGGAATAATCATCTCAAAGTTAAACTATTCCTAAAAAATATGGAGTTTGTAAATGGCATAACTAAGCAGCAAATATTAATTTGTCCCTTCTGGGTGGGAAAAATAAATAATGAGCACTCTTCTAGTTTCATGTTTATTTGGAATTCGTTCCCTAGACATTCTTCTGGCTTTTGGTGACAATCCCAGACTGCACCTCCAAAGAGACAACTTCCTGTCTAGAGTAACTCCCCGCACTATATGTTTTATTATCAGGCCACAATCATTGGCCAGACAGCTTAACAGTGTAAGCCTCAGGTAATGCAACCTCCATGTAGCTTTAGTCAAAAGTCAATTTGTTGCCCATTATAACAGACCGAACCACGTGAAAATCAAAGTCCGCAAACAACTCAATTTCCAAGTTATTTTTATTTCAAGATTAAATGGAACAACAGCTTTAGCTCTGTTAGGAGTACCAGCAACTTGCACTTCTTTCTTTTTATTTATAGTTAAAACACTCCAGTCATTATTTCAAAAGTTCACTCAAAGCAATTAGTAAGTGAATTCTCTCATAAAAAGAAAATGGAATTTTTTTTTTAATCCTTCTCAAAGATTCCAGATTTGCGTTACTCATCTGTAGCTAACTCAACTAAAATAAAGCTACTATTAAAAATCTACTAAGCATGCAAGCAAAATGAAGGAAAAAGGCAAACTGATTAATGTTTCACATCTGAAGTAATTTCCTTGCACCTGCAGCTCCTGTCTGGGAAAATTACTACAGACACCGCTTAAAACAAGACTAGTATTCATAACATGGGCAATTTTTCACTGTTTTACTTTCCCTCATTCCCACAATTCCTAAACCTGGGAACTTTTACAGTTATTCTGGACAAGGTGAAAGTATAGTACTATAATATTTAAACTTGCCATTTGCACCTCTATTTATTTTTAATCTTTTATTCATTTAATCACTGACAGCATGTTTGTTCAAGAAGGATCTTGAATAAGATACTTTGTACTAACTTGACTTCAGTGTTTCTGCATTTACAACTCCTGCTGTGATTCCTCATCTACCTATACCAGACCCCAACAAAAACCTCAATGTTAAAGATTTCTTACAAAGACAGAAAATGCATTTTAATTTGATATTGCCCTATTACATTTGCATTTTTCAGTGATCAAAAACCAGTATTGCGTTAAAATTCTCTTCCCAATAATTTCACTAGGAGCTGGATTTAAGCTGATGGTAGACAAGGTAAAGCCACAAAAGTAAACAATAGAAGTTTTAATATACCACACTCTTTCTCTACCATATCAAGTAGTATTTCTAAATGAAGAAAAGTACCTTTTCTTTTTTTTACAGAGATTAAGCAAATACTTATGGACATATTGCACATATCCAAATAAAAAGTAGCTGAAGAAACAACAGTTTAACTTTTGCTCCAATAATTCAATAACACAACACTGAGCAGTTTTTTATCCAATAACCAAAATAGATGTTTCTGCATGTAGTATTTCATCTTAGGAGACTGGAGTAGGTAAGCTACAAGTTGACACTTCATAGCTAGACAAAGAGAGAAGTCTCTAGTATATGTGCTAGCTAGCTACCATGACTAGTGGTACAGCCTGATGAACATTTTGAAGCATTCTAACAGTCCACTGACGCAATTCACAATTCACCACACATCAACCCGGAGCAACAAGCTAACATTTTCTTACCAAAATCTGAGCACTTTTCTTACCACCAGCTTAAAACACTGGGCTTCTTCTTGCTGTTAGCAATCTTATGACTTTAGTAATTTTCAAAATTCTTCTAGTGTAAGGCAGAGGCATTATGCCTTACAGTGAGGCATAATTTTTATGATTTTGGACACTAATGTAGACAAGGCTCATACAGTCACTGTTATTTCCCACACTATGCCAAATGTAACTGCTTATGGTCGCAATAACTTGGCACAGGAAACAGCTGCTGCAATGTTAACTCCCTTAAAACCCCAAACAATCCTCCACAGGGCAGAAATGCTGAGTTAAGAGCCACTTAACTTCCTAACTTCTGGGTGACTTGACATACAAAAGAAATCACAAGTCCGTAAGCTATTTGTAAGTTACCTGGGTATACATCTCACCCCTTAAGAGTGAGATTCAAAACAGTATGCATGCAAGCAAAAAATCATTGTGGCTGGAAGAAACAGCAAGTGTTAGACTTCAGTTACACAAAATCAGAGGCCCTTAGTCAGTGTTTCAAGGAAACACTTATCACTGTCCTGAATATCCTCAAATATTTCAAGCATAAGACCTTTCAACCTTCAGCAAAGAAGGTGGTTTCAGAAAGTCACTAATAGCCTTTCTCTTTTCCCTTGCCCCTCACTGTCATCACACTCTTCTAGCAATGCTAAATATTTTTTGTGTTGTGGGTTTTGTTCCAGGCATGTTTTTTACCACAATGAGTTCAGTGACCTGGTTCACAGACACCCCCATGAATGGTAGTTTTCACAGCATTACTGAAGCAAGAAGCTGCACTGCTGTTTGTGCAAGCTGGATTCATCACCAGTGACAGGATTCCTAGAACTTTGGGCTCAGAGAGCTATGTAATTTTCTAAAGCAAAACAAAACTAGAGCCAGTAGTTACATGACTTTTACAGAAAGACCTAGCAGGAGGTAAATTTCTACTTATAACCCTATTTGGCTTTGTCCTTATAAGAAATAGGGTGAAATTAGAAGAACTGAATGAAACAGCATGCAGATAGAACGAAAATAAATTCAGAAATATATTTCTTCTCTTTCAGAAACAGAGAGGAATCAGGGAAAAGACTTGACTGATCCCAACCAAAAACCACAAGCTAAAAGATCACAGGCAAGTATTCCAGTATGGCAAATGACCCTATCTTTGAGAACATCAGTACCTATGAACATTGGCCTTTTGAAGTATAATGTTAAAAAAATATCCCTCATTGTTTATATTATAGGATAGTTGAAGGTTGCAATTCAAGTGTCACCGTGAAAAAAATGTTCTGCCCTCTACCAGGTGAGAATTCTACCTATAGTGCCAAATTACAAGTGCCTTTCCCTTTACATCACAACCAGAAATTATGATTTAGGCAGCCAATCCAAACATTTGGGTTGTTTGTTTATCCAAAAGGTGAGGAACAAGCACAATACCTGAGAAAGAACAAGCTGCCCATGGAACTTAACAACAAATTTCCGTAAAGATGCAAGGTATGAGACCTCTCCTATTTTCCTTGCCAGAGATCGTAAAAGAAAATAACCCTGCAAAAAATTAAGGGAGAAGCTATGAGTTTTCTGGTATCTAGAAAACTGACGTCATTATGATATTCATAAAGCAATCTTAGTAAAAATCAGCTGACAACACTCACCTTCAAATAGTGAACCTGCATGAAGATTTTTTCTGCTTTAAGACCATATTTGACAACAGAGGCTCCAGACTCACTCAGTTCTCCTGTGCTCTCCTTTTTGGGCCTAAAATGGAAACAAACCACTTAAGTTTTGGATAAGTAAGTAAAGAAATAAGTCATACATTACAGGTTGTGATAATTGAAAGCATTGTGTGGCATTAAACACCTGTGACTCGTTTAGTATTTTTCTTCACCACAAGAATATATATTTACTTAGACAGTCTAACAAGTCAACTTTCTTCTAAATAAAATTCATCAGTAAGTTGGTGTACTCTTTTTACAGCCAGCACGACACCAGGTTGCATGTCATTTTCCAGTGCAGACACCTTATGAACAAAGAGAAAAAAATAAACAAAACAAACATTTTATGGGAAGGGGAAATGGAGGGGAAGACAGTGAAGTCAGTATGTTCAACTTTTCAACTCTTTTTTTTACCTGAATCTGGCTTAACAGATTACAGGCTATCCTTGCAAGAATAACTTCTTTCATATGCATGAAGTAGACTGCTGCAGAAAGTGTTCTGATTTTCATTTTTCCATTTGTGTTGGAAGAAAAGTAGTTCAAATTTTAAAAGAGGAAGTATTTTGCATACAGGTTTGAGGTTTACAGACAATAATATCTAGAAAAAAATACTATTTACTGCCTGATTTAAAATGTAATACAGCATCTGATATGCTACGAATCTACAACAGTTAAGTGTGGAGGACTTTTAGGCTCTAAAGAGCACAAACTGCAACTAAAGAGAAGCTCCGCAAGCATTTTTTGTTCATTTTTAAGAAGTGCTTTCATAGGCATAGTACTGAAGATGATCTAGATTTTTTTTCTTCCATTCAGAAAACATCCCAACTAACAGCAGTCTGAGAACAGTTGCCTGTCTTAGGAGCCTAACCCTGTGATTAAAACAACCTCTCCAATTCTAAATGTGGATTTGGAAATGGCCAGTCTTCAAAACCAAATGTCTTTCCCTTCACTTCTGCAGTATAGGGGAAATATGGGCCACAGTAAGACAAGATCCTTCAAACCACACCATTCATGCAGGAGTGATTTCTAGAGCTTTGTCATCAAATTTTTTTCCATATCTGTGTCTCATTTGAGGGAAGCGTTCTTCCTTTTTTATATCTGTGTCACAGTTTCTTATTACAGTTTTGTCCGAGTGCTGAATCAGGGTATTTTTTCAACATTATTATTAGGGCTTGTGCACATGAAATCCACTATACACAAAATTTTCATAAAATGAAACTGTTTGAAATAAAATATAGAGAAAAAAACAGACTGAATTTTTACACTGTGTTTCTGACACAGTTCTCTTCCATGTTACTATTCATAAATATCTTTCCAGTAAGATCTTCCTTCAACATTGAAGGAACAATAGCAGTAACTGTTTTCTTATTCTATGGCAACTTCAGTTCTTTCAGACTGTGTAAACCTTGCAGACACACTGTAGGAAAGCAGAAATCCAGCTATTTCCCTTCTGGAACAGTCTCCTGGAAAGAAGACCTGCTGACATTCCATACATGACTTTTCATCATTGTCTGCATAAATAAAATGCACAATCTGCTTCATTTCTCTTAATAAATAGCTCCGTCTATTGACTTTGAAAAATGGAGTTTGAGCACAGGCTACAGAATCCACACTAAATTGAAATCTCTCTCATAATCACAATTATTCTAAATTAGGCAACTATACTTCTTTCTGCTCTTTGTGCCTGTCTAGTTCCTAGGACTGACCAGAAAGAAGTATTGCATCTGGACAATAGTCGTGAAGAATTCCATACAGAAAACATATATACATTCCTCTGCAAAGGCTGTATAGATATTCTTGAACATCCCTGTAAAGGAGTGTAACTATTTAGAATGTAACACCGTTCCCTGCTATCAGGACTTCAGAACAAAATTATAAAGCAATGTTTACTGTATTTACCAGACATTGAAAGTACAAAGATTGAAATTTTGTTACACTGACCTACAAAAGCTGCATCTAACCAGGTAGATAAAGTCTACCATAATGCTAAAGACAAGCTGTTTGAAAATATTCAAGATGCTATCTGGTATATTTTAGATACTGGCAAATTTCTGAAGGAGGTAAAAGATGCTGCTTTCTATTTGCTAGGATGATGAGTACATTGCACTAGTAAAAGTACAATGCATTGGGATATCCTTGGTAATTAAATGCTCTGATGTGCCAGGTGGTCATGAAAACTTACACAGAGACTCTAAGAGACCATCTGAAAGCACATTTCCTACCAGACAGAATAAAACTCTTCAAACACCTACAGAGCAGTCAGAAGCATTGCTTCAGGACATAATGGATCTGACACAAGTGGAAGAGACTAAATTAGAGTCAGATATCAACATTGGCTTGACTTAATGAATTACCATAAGATGCAGTTCAGCCATAAGAGCCAGGAGATGAAACAAGCATCAACACCAGCTTTATTCTGCAGAACAGAATGCTCTTCTTTGCTTTCCTAACAGGAGACATGAGAATGTTGGAGTTGATGATCACCAGCAAAATGAGTGCCAAGACCTTTTTCATAGGTGCTTTTATCCCTGCAGGGTTCTTTCAAATTCTGTGAGAAAATAGGCACAGGTCTCTTGGAAGTCTCATCCTATATGAGCATGGATGTGCCACAAAATTCTTCTTCAGTGTTAAGATTGCTTGAGCTGTCTTTCAGAGCTGCTGCCTGTTGAAAAGACACTTATCCAATTTCTTTTTTACTAGACCTCTTTTTTTAAAGCTTATGACACACCACTTACTATAACATAGTACCAAGTACCCATAATAAGAAGAAACATCAGGCTAATCATCAGTTTGCTGAGTGCTTTCACCCAGTCTAAAAGGGTATTCATTTGATGGATCAAAAATTGATAGGATCAGTTGGTAAGTTTGGGGCAGAATTTTCCAGCTCTCAGGAGAAAGCACAAATAATCATATGATCAGCAGGGAACAAAAAAAGTAATGGAAAAATGAGCTTATGCTTGGGAAGAGTGAGTTGGTTGATTTTCTTCTTCCTGAAATGATTATAATTTACCTTTAATTTACCTTTAATACTCTGTATTAAAGCAAAAGTTAGAACCAGCCCAAGCCTCACTACAGACTCACAACCCAGACCAAGGGCGAGGACTGAGATTTTCTCTCTTACATGTCAATTTTAGAAAGTATGAGGACTATTTTCAGAAGGATGAAGAAAAGAAAAAAAAACAGTAAATAGGCAAAAAGAAAATTTATTCATGTCCATGCAACAAAAAGAGTAGAAAATATTTATATCTGACTGGAATCAGTAGGAAGTCCTTAAATGCAATCACAAGGAACTAGAGATACCAGAGAAGAAGAAATGGCCAGAATCACAAAGTGGCATCATGTGCCTGGCCTGAAGTGTTTATTGGAGACACATTTTTCAAATGAGAAATTAATTTTTCACTCTTTTGTATTAGCGTTAGGAATACTACTATCCAAAAGGTAAGAAAAATGCTTATTATAATGTAGAATAAATGTGCAAGTCAAGTGTAAGTTTCATTTTCAAAATAAATCAATCCTCCTTGAGTTTCAAACTACAAAGGATTATGGCCCTTTGAAAAATTATTTTGAAAATTTACACCACATAACATTTGATTAAAAGTAATAGCTATATAAATACAAAAGACAACAAACTTGATTCCATAATGTTGAAAATGGAAAACACCCCGATAAGCATCATATCCCAAGAACCAACAGTAAAAAAAAATTATTTAAACCAAACAAAAACCTCAGCATGTAAATTGGTAGTTGTGTTGGCAGCGGCTGTTTAACAATTAGTGATTAAGCTTGCCTTTGCATTTACTACTATGGTCAAATTACACACCTGAACATTTACACAACTGTGTAACCTCATTGGCTCTGCTTACACATAGATACACAATTCATCATTAAATATAAAGTAAAACAGATCAGTGGAAGACTACAGTTACATAGATGGTGACATGCTTTTGGATTACATGAGGCCTTGGAGAGGAACTTCTATGGTGGTGAGCACTCTCTACAGTGTCCAAATATAGTAGAGCCTTTTAGTTTCTACTGGGCAAGCACAAGAAGAAGGGAAGACCTTAAATGAATGAAATGGAAACAGTCTTCCAAAAACATATAAAAGTTGATAATCTAGAAGATGAGCAACAATTCATTCTTCACTTCCACTTGGTGACAGAAAGAAATTAAATCTACATTGTTTGAAATAAACAGGATTTCAGTTGTGCATTAGGAAGCAATTTTTAACTCTCAACACTAACTATCTTATTGAGACAGCTTGTCTCTCTTATGAAAACTTTTTTATTGGAGCCTTCTAAGAACATGTTAATAAGCACCCACTTAGAACGGTCTGTGTGTACTGCCTTTATTTCAGAGCAGGAGAATAGACTACAAAATTGTTTGAAATCTGTCCCTGTACTTCCATGATTTGGTCAGAAATCATGGCTAATTTGAACTAGGATTAGTAAACTCATTATTCTTCATTGAAGATCGTGAGGAGACAAGCTGTAGAAGCTCAGCGGATCTTGAATTAGACAGACATTCAAGACTGTTTGAAAATTTCTATCACATCAATCTGAACAGATTATTAATCACTGGCAAAGGAAGACTGTCTTTAGCTATCGATAATGAAGCCTTGAGCTTAGCATCTGATACCTAAAGACCAAAAATGTATTTTAAATATAACTATTAGCAATTTCTATTAAAAAATAGAATTTAAAAAGTATAATATATAAACATATAAAGTTTATATATTATACTTTTTCCTTGTTTTTTAAAGCTTCATTCAGCTTGGCAGTTAAATACCATACTAATGTACGTACTTGTCTTCAGCTACAGAAAATGGCACTGTTATGGCTTCCCACAGTGAACTTTTTCAGGAAATAGTCTTTTATTTTTTCCCTGAATAGAAGCTCTTGTAAACTGCTCAGAGACATTTCATATCAAAACAGCCCATAGTTTTCTAAAAGCTTTCTATAACAAAGGGAGGAACAATTGTATTACAGTCAAGATATATAACCCAGTCATTTAATTTGCATTTTCTTTTTTTGTTAGAAGGAAATGCAGTGGATTTAATCAGATGATTCGGATGTATATCCTTTGAAGGGAGAAGATGTGGAAAACAGGAGAGAGTGAAAATACAAAAGCGATGATGGTGCTATCATATTGTTACCTTAAAACTTGCAGCTCTTCTTCAGAATTTTGCACCTCATCTCTGAGTCGGCGCCAGCGAAGTAAAGCTTTCAATTCCTGTTGCCCTTTTATTTCATCATGTGACAGCTACTTAGGAAACAAAAAACACAGATCACTGATTGCTGTTTTCCAGCAGACAATAATAATTTGCAGAACAAGAAACTTGGTTTGTTTCTCTTTAAGGTGCAGAAGAGGCAGGGAAGGGTATCAATATCCATGATCAAAAAATAACAGTTGCTGCTATGAGAGATAATAGCAGCACTAAGGAAAACAAAAGCCTCACTGTGCACATCAAATCAATAGTCAGTTCAATAGTTCTGACTGAGGAGAGAGATGGGTGTGTTGTTTTCCCTTTAGTGAATGGCAAGAAACAAACTGAATTTACAGTAGACACACCTGGCATAGAGGTTCTGGTTCCATCCTTACCCTTCCCAAATTGAGAGCAAAGAGTACATTGTGTCCTGGCTTCATTCTTCTTTCCTAATACTTCTGCCATATTTCTGAAAGCTCCCTGTTGTGTTTTCCCCCTTTTTATGTAATATTAACAGATTCCTGCTTATGAAATAAATGCCAGGTTGCCAGCTGGCAAATAATTGTTTTGAACATAATTATAATTTATGTTTCTCTATTATAAGTATAGATGGGAAATTGGGGAAAGCAAATACAGCTAATGCTACCCTGCATTACATTCAATCACAACTCAAATTATTCTCAGGAACTATGGAATACACTCATAATCATTAAATTCTATGACTGCATTGCATCAAAACTCAATAATGTTCAAAAGGTATGTCTTACATGATAACAAGGGAACTAATCACACTGTTCTTTCGTTTTCTCCTTTACACTCAGCTCCAAGACAGATGTCTACTACAATCAAAATGCTTTCAAGTGAGTAACAAAAGCAAAGAATTAATGTGAACACAATGTAATCACAGCAATGTAGTTATGCTCAGTGTGAGGGCACAAATGAGTTTTAGAACCAAAAGGGAAAAGCCAAGTGTTTATACAGCCTTTCTCTCTTTCTTTTTCCAAAAATATGGTACATAACAAGGCACTCTGTTTAGTTTGGTGCTATAAATATGCCAGATACTTAATAAAATGGAGGTTTGAAGGAGTGTATTATGTCAATTCCCAGTTCTACCATGCTTTTCCTCAGGTGGAAATCTGCAGACTAAAGGGGCAGAACCTGACGAAGGTACAGGAAGAAAGGACTGACACATTAAATGCTTGAAGTAGCAGATGTAGTACAGAAGTAAGTTGCATCAGGAAAACACTTTACTAGCTGACATGCAACTTATGAACTTTTCACCCTAAGGGGGACAGTGATTTCTAAGTCTCTAACAGGACAGTAACTTGGTGGGCAGTAGAAGAGAAAAAAAAAGTGTAAGTGCTAGTGTGCTCCATTTAAAATCATCTTCTATTTTGCTTTGAGGTACACTTCTTGGTCACCCATTGGAAGAAACCAAACAATTTTAATTAGGTACCTGGAATATTACAATATGCAGTAAGACTGTTAATTCTTCCAGTTTCAGGTACACAACAGAAGTGGAAGGAATGCACAGCAATTGTTTGATAATTGAATTGAATAACTGAGTATAAAACTTGTGGGACAAGACAAACATTGACAAAGAGATGTTTCTATTCTCATTTGCACTGACCCCCTACCTCTGTAAAGATTTGTATTCATTGTGGAACACTTTTTTTTTTTTTTTTTAAATCAAGTAAGCATGCAAATTCCAATGCCATTTTAAAATGTGTTTCTTCATAGCACAGTTTGTGTTTTGGGGTTTAATTTATATATAATTCACATATAATTTTGATTTCCACATTAATTTTGAAGCAACATGTTATCACTTTACCTGTTGTGCCCTAGCCCAAAATATGTCTTCTAAAAAAGTGGCAAACCCCTCACTTATCCACTCTTCTGTCCAATCACGAGCACCAATGGCCAGTCCAAACCAAGCATGAGCAATTTCATGGCACAGACGAGTTCCACAGAGATGGCTTCCTCCTGGCAGTACACTTTGTGACAGAAAGATGATGTGTGGGCTGCACGAGAGAAATAAGTGACAGAATCCATTAATGACCTGTTAGAACATGTATTGCATGGACATAATAATAACAGAACCAAAGAATGGTCTGAATTGGATGGGACCTTGAAGATCCCCTGTTTTCCAACTCTCCTGCTGTAAACATGGACACCTTTCATTAGTCTCAGTAGCTCAGAGACCCATCCAAACGGGCCTGGAACACTTGCAGGGATGGGGCATCCACACCTTCACTGGGAAACCTGTGCCAGTGCCTCACCATCCCCAGAAGGAAGAACTTTCTCCAAATATTTAACCTAAACCTACTCCCTTTCAGTTTGAAGCCATTCCACCTTGTTCTGTCACTACATGCTCCATAAATAGTCTCTCTCCATCTTTCTTACAGGCTCCCTTCAGGTCAGCTTTATTAGCCTATTAGCTTCTTACTAGTGTATGCATGTTAGGTCATGACTAATAGTTTATATCTCAGGAATTTGTAGGAATTAAGTAGTACTTTATTGTTGGTTGGCAGACAATCAAACTAAAATTCTACCATACAGTTGTAAGGCGTTTGACCACGAAACAGCTATTAATTGTAAGAAGTAACTTCAACCAAAGTTTTATATCTTTCATGCTACAAGACTGATTTATTTAAATAGAAATATTTATATATAAGCCAGGATAACAAAATGCAAGCAGTATTAATATTGACAACAAGTATTTATCAGTTAAATTATCAAAGACGGAAATAAATAAAGGAGAAACACTTAATAAAGAAAACAAATCAGTATCCAAAAGTAGAAATCATCATATATAGTAAAGCACAAAGTTTGTCAAAACTTCCAACAAGTTAAGAAGATACCATCTTGTAATAAGAGTTGATAATTTTTGCAAGTGTAGAGATAGAAGAACATATTTTACTACAACCACAGAAGTGAGAAGCAGCAGACATGTACTTTTCACAATAGGAGGGGAACAATTCAGTCTGTATCTACTCTGCTTTGTACTCTAGCAAGAAGAAGAAATTGCAGGGGAAAACTGTTATGAATTGTCACTCTGCTAGTGAAAATACCCTGAACTGCAAGTTACTGCAGTTCCCAACTCATGTGCTATTGTAAGGCAACTTCTGCTATGCTAATAGACATTACAGACCTTAACATCTTGAAACGGATACAACTTTGAAACTAAGAACACCTAGGAAATAAAACTAGCAGAATTAACCTCTCCGACTAATATCCAAGGGGCTAACAGGGCACCATGTCACAGATGGGAGTAGCAAGGAAAGAAACGAAGACCACCATCCACAGAATGTTCCTGCATTAACCTATGGTATCCATGATCTATATTTCAACTCTTCTCTCACTTTTCTCTCAGTTACAAGGGAAACAAAACACAAGCATACCTTCAAGACCAGAGGTCTTTAAGTCTAGCCTTCCAAGCATGGGAGGGGAGTCTGTGGCGCTAAAACATTTCCAAGAGTCAAATATTATTTGTCAGCATTCCAAAAATCTTCCCCACCTATCCTACCCTTCTGTTGGAAATGTTAAAACACCCACAGTTTTCTTGGAACCAGCTGGATGTCTGGTACTGGGATCATAAAATATGATACACATGTAGATAGAAAAACATACTCAACAACTATCACCTTATAAAAAACAAGTAGTTACCCAGCCAAGCAAGTTAATACATTTCAATCAGATGGCATTGTAAAATACAATGTAAGATGTTAAAAGTACTAAATCAAGGAATCAAGTACACAAAAAACGCAAGTAAAACCAATAGCTCTCCAAATCTTTGCCAAAAGAAATTCCGATTAAGAGAATGAAGGGAGAGAGAGATAGGGGAAAAGTCTGAGTGCAGAACATGATAAATCTTTTATTATAAACCCTCATGAGAGTAATAACTACAATTTTGAGGGTATTATTTTGGTCAGTTTAAAGTAAATGACCTCTAGTTGTGGCATGTGTACAGTGGTACAAAGAAAAACTGCAGAATTAATATTGACAACAAGTATTTATCAGTTAAATTATCAAAGACGGAAATAAATAAAGGAGAAACACTTAATAAAGAAAACAAATCAGTATCCAAAAGTAGAAATCATCATATGTAGTAAAGCACATGTGTTTGTCAAAACTTCCAACAAGCTAAGAAGATACCATCTTGTGATAAGAGTTGATAATTTTTGCAAGTGTAGAGATAGAAGAACATATTTTACTACAACCACAGAAGTGAGAAGCAGCAGACATGTACTTTTCACAATAGGAGGGGAACAATTCAGTCTGTATCTACTCTGCTTTGTACTCTAGCAAGAAGAAGAAATTGCAGGGGAAAACTGTTATGAATTGTCACTCTGCTAGTGAAAATACCCTGAACTGCAAGTTACTGCAGTTCCCAACTCATGTGCTATTTGTAAGGCAATTTCTGCTATGCTAATAGACATTACAGACCTTAACATCTTGAAACGGATACAACTTTGAAACTAAGAACACCTAGGAAATAAAACTAGCAGAATTAACCTCTCCGACTAATATCCAAGGGGCTAACAGGGCACCATGTCACAGATGGGAGTAGCAAGGAAAGAAACGAAGACCACCATCCACAGAATGTTCCTGCATTAACCTATGGTATCCATGATCTATATTTCAACTCTTCTCTCACTTTTCTCTCAGTTACAAGGGAAACAAAACACAAGCATACCTTCAAGACCAGAGGTCTTTAAGTCTAGCCTTCCAAGCATGGGAGGGGAGTCTGTGGCGCTAAAACATTTCCAAGAGTCAAATATTATTTGTCAGCATTCCAAAAATCTTCCCCACCTATCCTACCCTTCTGTTGGAAATGTTAAAACACCCACAGTTTTCTTGGAACCAGCTGGATGTCTGGTACTGAGATCATAAAATATGATACACATGTAGATAGAAAAACATACTCAACAACTATCACCTTATAAAAAACAAGTAGTTACCCAGCCAAGCAAGTTAATACATTTCAATCAGATGGCATTGTAAAATACAATGTAAGATGTTAAAAGTACTAAATCAAGGAATCAAGTACACAAAAAACGCAAGTAAAACCAATAGCTCTCCAAATCTTTGCCAAAAGAAATTCCGATTAAGAGAATGAAGGGAGAGAGAGATAGGGGAAAAGTCTGAGTGCAGAACATGATAAATCTTTTATTATAAACCCTCATGAGAGTAATAACTACAATTTTGAGGGTATTATTTTGGTCAGTTTAAAGTAAATGACCTCTAGTTGTGGCATGTGTACAGTGGTACAAAGAAAAACTGCAGAAATAGACCAAGTAAATAACATTCCAGACATACTGGTGGCAACATTTCAGCCACTTGGTTAAGCAAAACAAAAGTAACTTCATGCCTCATAAATAGGCTCACAGAACAGTCTGCATTTTACTTTATTGTATATTGCAGAAAAATATACAATAAAGATTGTCATTTCTGCTTTCTCCAATCACTTAAAATTAAAACAGAAATGCCACATTTAGACAATATTCTCTTTTATAGACGGATTACAAATCACTTCAGTAAGAAAAATGTATGAGTTAAACGTTGTCCAAAGAATATGAGCACAGCTTCCTACAAGGCTAAAATAAGATTATGTGCTGCAGCAGAATTTAATTTTAGAATCTCAGTAGAGCCAGCAACTTCCTTTCCTGAGAACAACTTAAATTATTTATTTTATTTTGTTTGCCCTGAACAAACAGTACTATCTCCAAACCATTGAAAAGTTCCCATTTTTCTTAAGAGTAATTTTATCAAAGACTGAACATGTCTCTGGAAGATGTCCAGCACCGATTAGTTTGGAAGAAGTTTACATCTATGTATTTGTTTAAAACACAGATTCTCTATTTTCAAAAATATTTGAATTCCAGAAACTCACCTCCACTTATACTAAACAAATCTACCTTTTTAATATCATCTAGGATGTGCAATGTTTAGAATTGTAGAATCGCTTGTGTCAGAAAGGACCTCAAAGATCACGTAGTTCCAACCCTGTTGCTGTGGGCAGGAACACGTTCCAATAGACTGGGTTGGTCAGAGCCCCATCCAGACTGGCCTTGATCACCTCCAGGGCTGGGGAGTCCACAGCTTCTCTGGGAAACCTGTTCCAGAGACTCACCACCATCCCAGAAAAGATTGCTTCCTAATATCTAATCTAAACCTTCTGTCTTTGAGCTTGAAGCCGTTCCTCCTCATCCTGTCACTACCTACTCTTGCATCCTGTCACTACCTGCTCTTTCTCCATCATTCTTATAAGCTTCTTTCCTTATAAGCTTCCTTATAAGAGTTGTAAGGCTGCAGTTAAGTCATGCCAAAACCTTCTCTCTTCCAGGTTGAACAAACCCAATTCTCTCAGTCCTTCCTGATAGGAGAGGTGCTCCATCTTTCCAGTCATCTTGGTGACCCTTCTCTGAATGTGCTCACTTGAACAGGCTGATGTCCTCTCTGTGTTGGGAAAATGTTATGAATGTTATTAAATTGCACACTGGTATTTAGCAGCGTTGCTCCTAAAGCACTCCATAATTTAAGAAACTGTGTAAGTGAAAAATAAGATAATTTGACTGGCAACTACATTATAAGACCCAAAAGCTTTTTTTTTTTTACCTTTTCCTTTTTTTTTTAACAAGAAGATAAAAGTGGTCCTCCTATCATCTGTTTGATTTACTAGAAACAAATTAAAAGGCTTGATATTCATTTCTTTGATTCTAACTGAGTAGGAAAGAACTCCATCCATACATTAGAAATGGGCAAAGACAATTCACCTCAGAAATTACTTTAGGACCTGACAAGGACTGTGCAACTTACAAATGACTTTAGCAAGTAGGGTCCAAAGTTTCTAAAGCAGGCCAGAACAGGCAAGCTGGTTATGGTAAAAAAAAAAAAAAAAGCAACACTTCCAGTTGTTCCCAGGAAGCTGCACAAGTTCCCTGTGGCTCCAAGAGAAAAAGAAGATAATGATTTGTTTTTGACAAGTATACACTTGGTTACCCTTCTAAAGCAAAAGAGC